ATTTTATTTATTAAAATTAACAAATAAATTTCTGGTTTTATGTTAATTTTTTTAATAATAAATAAATTAGTTGTAAATAAACAAGTTTTTTTTATATGTACTTATAAGAAAAATTAATGTAGTTCCTACAAGAATATTTTAACAAGAGCACAGAGCAGAGCGGGAGCAAATACTTTGATGCTGGAGCGCAAAGCAACTCAAATAAATGGTCACTCCAAGTGCTTCAAAGCCCTGATATTTACTCTTTATTTTTTCATTCAACTTTGAATTTGATTTGGATTTTCAAACTAGTTTTGTTCAATTTCATTATCTCTATCGTCATCTTAATCATATTGTCAATTAACACTTTTGGGTAATTATGTCAGGCTGTCATTTATTTAATGAGGTTTAGCTCCTTTTAATGTCTTTATATTTGATAGGGAGTAAAAGGTCTCTATGTGTTAAATCATGGAAAACTGAAATCTTATACAAAAACAGATAGTCAGATTTTGCATTGATGTAAAACAGTATAGAACTGGGTTTTCCGTAAACCAAGATGATGAATTTTTGTAATCATTTAGTCATTAAATTGAAATAATTAACCATTTGGAAGAGAAGAAGCTTCAAAAATGTTTATTAATAATAAACTGACTTCTAAATGATAGGTTTAATTGTGTCTTTTAGCTTCTAATTATGGAAATGTATCATTGACAAATACATCAAATTTTAATCTTAATATTTTTATTTCTTTATAAATGATGTTGTGTATGATTCTAACTGGTATTATTTATATAACTAATTTTCTTTGTTTCAGAGGTGAATACAGATTACTGTACATAACTCCTGAATTTGCAGTAGCAGCTATAAATATACTTAATGAGATACATAGTAAAGTAGGTAAGATTACGTTTGTAAAACCTTTTGATTAAAAAATAATTGTTTAAGTTAATAGGTCAAATTATTTTGCAAGTTAAAAATGTGAAAAAACTTTAGAAAAACTGATGATAATATTAACTATATTAAAAATAGGGATAGTGTTGCTTGCAATTGATGAGGCTCACTGCGTGTCTCAGTGGGGACATAACTTTCGTCCACAGTACAGGAAATTGGGCTGTCTCAGGGATTGTTTTCCAACTGCAAGTATTTTTACTTAAAATATTTCCTTGCATATATTTTATATTAATTGTGACGCGTGTCTTAGATTCCGTTCATGGCTTTAACCGCCACGGCGACGCCACTGGTGCAGAAAGACATCGTCGATTCACTTCATTTGAAGGACTGTCGTTTGTTTGTTTCGTCGTTTGACAGGTGAGATGATTTTATTTTTCAAGAATTTAAGACAAGATATAATGCAAAGCATATTTTATATAGTTTATAGAGATATTTGCATTCTATGGGTTGATCAAACAAAGAGTTTTCTCACGAGGAGTAGACTCAATGACTCTGGGAGTTGGCAGTTCTCGAATGACATTATGCATCATTAATTTATTCAGTTTATTTTGCAACAAGTAGCAGGACAGTAATTAGTGTATATGACTTACGTTGCAAAGTCTAGTGTTCTTCAATAAACTTCTCATTTGATGATACAATATAAGGGAAAAATCAAAATGTTTTTCTGAAAATTAAGTTAAAGCTAAATATAAGAAAATTGTGCTTTATTGGAATAAATTTTTAAAATATTTGTAGTTCATGCGCTTTCATGGCTTTCTGGTTTATCTTCGGGGCATAAATACCCAAAAAAGTAACCATTTGAAGCACATTCCAAAAATATGATAATATTTGTATGTCTTTTAGAATGTTTAATGTTCTACAGGATGTTTTATGTTCCCAAAAATGAACAGGAAGGCTTGAAAGTGCTTAAATTTTGAACATTTAACAAATAATTTTCTTACATTTTTAGTTTTGGTTAGCATTTTGGAGATTTGTTTATTTAATATTTTAAGTATTAAACTAACTCATCGTAGACTGCATTTCTTAATAACTAAACACACTCAATAAAATCTTTTAACTATGCAGCGTATTTATTAAATTCTAATGTTTTCGTTAACTGAAAACGTTAGAATTTAATAAAGTTAAAAGGTTTTATTGAGTGTGTTTAGGTATTAAACTAATTCAAAAAATTTGAAAGACTTGCCAATATTATTTTTTCCGTTACAGAAAGAATTTGTACTTTGAAGTTTTTCAAAAGAGTCATTCGATTCGAGATGATCTACTTTCCGTGATGCAGGTGAAAGATGGTCGATTGACGTTTGAAGGTCCGACAATTATATATTGTCCGACAAGAGATAAAACAGAAAGCATCACTAAAGTTTTAACTGGTTAGTGTGATTTGATAACACACAAATTTATTTTACTACGTGTAACTAACTCTTTGCAATCTTGGTAAAACTTGTACATTCAGAATTTTTTATTAAATAAATTAATAAAGACAAAGATAAAAGTAGCTTGGCATCACAGAATACAGTTAAATACAAACAGAGTTAACTTCATACGTTCTTCCTTATCTAAAACTATACAAGTTTTTTCGGATTCTAATGTCAGAGAAATTGAATTTTGTGTAGATTTAAGTAAGAAAGATGCTTTCGACTCTATTGCAATTTTGTTCCCATAGCACAAGAAAGAAGTACTAAGCACTCCAATTATTGTTGCGTTTGTCTTTAAATTATCTACAGTTTCAATTAAATTCTATTGTGAATTATTATTTTAATTATTTGTTTCTTTATGTCCTGAAATATTTCAATTTTTGTTTATATATTATCGATGTAGACTTTGTTTATAAATAGCTCTTATTATACTGGTGTAGTTTCAAA